TAATGTTGATTATCAGGAATGAGGCAAAACATTCCATTATTGTACAAAAGCCTGTGAAGCCCGCACTATCGTTGTTTCTCATTTCTATAGATAAGAAAACTGGACTCAGAGAGATGAAGTAGCTTACCTTTACCTAAGTCAGATACTGGGCAGTAGCAGAGCCAGGACTTCTATATAGCGTTGTCTATCCACGTCTGTCTGTCATACTGTGGTGGTTTGTGTGTGGTTGTGATGCTGGAAGCTATGCCACTGGTATTTCAAATACCAGCAGAATCACCCATGGTGACAGGTTTCAGTGGAGCTTCCAGACTAAGACAGACTAGGAAGAAAGGCCTGGCGATCTGCTTTAGAAAATTAGACAGTGAAAACCCTTTGGATCACAGCATGATATTGTCCGATATAGTGCTAGAAGATGAGCCCCCTAGGTCGGAAGGCATTCAAAATACACAGCGGCCACAACAATAGACTTGAGCATACCAACAATTACGAAGATAGTGCAGGACTAGGCACAGTGTTTCATTCTGTTAGACGCAAAGTCGCCATGAGTCTGAGCCGACTTGATGGCAACGAACAACTACAAAGCCTATGCTTTCAGCACACTGCCTCTAACATGAAAACAATTCTGCCTTTCTATGGATAGCAGCAGCTTTCTCGTACATTTCCAAAATCTACAAATAAGTAACTAGGATTACATCAGCTAGTGCACATCTTGTATAATCAGCCTAAAAGAGAAAGTCAGTCCTGTAGTCTTAAGGAGGTCACCCAGAGCCCTGATCTGACCTGGTCCTGCCTGTAGTTGACCAGCTGTTACAGGGGACAGTCACATCCACCTCAAGGACAGGGAGTGCGGGCAGGGTGGGGGCGGGGCAGGTGCACAGGGACACGCCCTGCGGGTGCACATGTGCACTCATGGGGTACAGGAAGAGCCGGTCAGGGCTGGAACACACATAGGTCTTTACTGGGGAAGCCTCACCCCACCCACAGCTGGAGTTGCTTGGACTCTGTCTGCCCATCCAGCCCCAGTGCTCAGAAGGTGTTTCAGCAGCTGCAGCTTCATATGCAAAGTGCAGCAGTGCCACCCTTGTGCTTCCGGTCCTGTGACTGATCCTCTGCTCGGTCCCTGTGTCAGTCTTAGATGTGGTAACCTCAGCAACCACAAATTCAGACAAACAATGACAATGATGAACTACTAATAGTTATCCATGTATTTAGACCCCGGTTCAATTCCCGGCCAATGTACCTCATGCACAGCCACCACCTGTCGGTCAATGGAGGCTTGTGTGTTACTGTGATGTTGAACAGGTTTCAGCTCCACAGTAAGACAAACTAGGAAGAAAGGCCTGGTGATCTGCTTCTGAAAATTAGCCAATGAAAACCCTAGGGGTCAAAAAAAAAGAAAAGAAAACCCTATGGATCACACAGTGTGATCAGCAACAGATCATGGGGATGGTGCCAGACGGGGCATCATTTGATCTTTTGTGCATGGGGTGGCCATGAGTTGGGGGGCTGACTCTACGGAAGCTAGCAATAACAGCATGGGCCAGATACTTTACACGTGTTGTTTTATTTAATGTGTTAGCAACCCCACGGAGTACCTTTTGTTGGCCAGATTTTACAGGTGAAGAAAATAAATCACAGCAAGATTTAAAACCTTGCCTGAGGTCAGCGAGACAGAAATCAAACCCAGATCTGATGGTTCAAAAGCCACGTTCCATTGCTGCCTTCTTACCTGCCTTCTTTCCTGAGGAGATGGGCTCTGGACTTCCAGCCACATTGCTGCCTACTATTGTTGTTGTCAGTTGCCAGGGAGATGGTTCTGACTCGTGGTGATCCCAAGTGTGCAGAGTAGAACTGCTCCATAGGATTTTCAAGGCTGTGACTTTTTAGAAGCAGATTGCCAGGCCTTTCTTCTGAGGTGCCTTTGGTTGGATTCGAACTGCCAACCTTTCAGCTAG